TACTCTAACTTTCTGATCCATGTACAATTTGCTAATCAATCTTCTTTCATGCCAATCGACACTTGTTTCCTTTAGGATCTGCATTAATTTGGTCCAGTTTACCCTGTCAAATGCCTTCTGCCAGTCTAGAAAGCAAGCACACAGTTCTTCATCTATCTCCAAAGTTCGTTCTGCTATAATTCTCATCATCCCAATTGCATCCCTGGTTCCTTTTCCTCTTCTAAATCCAAACTGATCTTCTCCAAGTATATCCTCTATTTTCCTTTCGATTCTTCTTTTAAGTATCTTTGCTATTATCTTTGCTGTATGTGCAATAAGACTTATTGTGCGATGGTCGCTGCATTTTGTAGCTTTTGTCTTTTTCTTTAAGGCAATCATTGTAACTTCTGTAAAGTCCTTGGGCCACTCTCCACTTTCATATATGGTGTTCATTAGTTTTGTCAGTGTTTTCAAACCACCTTCTCCCAGTAACTTGAGCACATCTCCAGGTACATCATCATCTCCTGTAGCCTTTCCCTTCCTCATTTCCTTGATAGCTTTTTCCACCTCACTTTGTAAAATATATGGCCCTTTCCCGTCTGTATCTACTTCTTCTTCCGGTTCAACTTCTAAGGTTTCTGGCCGATTAGGTCGATCATATAATTCTGTAATATAATTTCCCCAAATTTTCAGCACTTGCCTCTGATCTACTATTCTATTCCCCTGGGAGTCTTCGATGCCAATATTTTGAATCCCATGGATCTCTTTCCATCTTAGTTTTTTGTCTTCATGTACATTAAATCATAACGTCCTGTCCTTTGAAATTCTATAATCTCGTTACATATCTTCTCAAGGTATTCCTTTTTGGCCCTGTCCGTGGCTCTTTTCAATTCATTCCTCAGTCTCCTGTATTTCTTCCTGCCTTCTTCATTGTTTACAAAATACTCCGTTGTTTTACTCCGCAAGTGAACTATACCGACCTAGCCACCGCCGCTTGTCAGCGAAGTTAGTGCCTACTTTAGCGGATAGAGGGTGTCGAGTGGTCAGCACAACGAATCCCCACGGCCATTCATCTCGGTTTTCTACACTGGAGACGCTATTTCCTTGAAATATCTCCTCAGTTATTTTCACGAGGTTGAGTGCACCCCATTCCAGACTCATTACTTATAAAATCTGGTAGCACAGGGAATCGAATCTGGATCTGTAGCCAGGAACTCTGAACACTAGACCACAGATCCACGAAATTCTTCCCCGGCTGCAGCCACATTTTCTGAAAGCGCCCATACCACATCTGATTGGCTTGTCAGAACTGCGAATAGATATACCCACAATTTGATAAACAATTTCGCAAGAAGTAATAATTCCTACGTCATATTTTGTCACTGTTAAAATGTTCAACTTTTTTATGTTTTCGGTGATATGCGATACTTTTAACAAGTTTTCTTGCAGACCTCATATGGAAAGAGAAGCCCATGGAAGTCTCATGTACCCACATGTCAGTCCGCCTGATCCCCTAAAATCCAGCGACAGATTTCCATCAAACTTGGTACGCATACCACCTCATTATAGGAGACCCTACTTTTCATAGGCCTATACAAAAACGCAAATCAGCAACAGGTGTCGACTTTCGCCTTACGATCCCTGCATTATCCTGTACATCGAAAACAGTGTGTATTTCGAAAAAGCTAAATAGTTCCGTTCAGTGTGACTGGTTAAGATTTTCTTATTTCAGTTATTCATGCCCTTACACGTTTCGGTCTTCAGAGACCATCATCAGAGGGACACCTTTACATCAATAAAGTTAGACGCTACTATTACAATATATGTTCTGAAAGTTAAACTGTATACATATAATATTAATAATATACAATTGGCTGTAAAATCTAAAGTCTTTACAACTACAGCGGCTGTTCCAATACTTTAAAATATTTATAGTTGGTTTGTTAAGATTCTATTGGAATTCGTAAACCAATCTGGTTCGTGTCGTCCCTCTCATTATTTCTTTTGGAGGGTGCCGAATGTGTGCCCTCTTGTTCTCGAGAAGAGGGTTCTTTAAAAAAAGAGAAACAACACAGCGGGCCACAAAAACACATACAGGACAACATTAAAGAACAAGGAGCGTTGTTGATGCACGTGTATAACTATCACTGCACTATTTTCTTCTTATCTTAAGGTATCATGAGCTCTGTGTCATATTTGTTGTAGTTGAAGGTGAAAATTCAAATTAGATATTTTTCTTAGCGGTAAACAGTCTTTAAGCTTACTTATCAAACAAGCAGGCCTACGTTTCTAGCACACAGGTGAGGGTTCCATTATGTGCCTTTATTGCACAGTGATTTTTTCATCTTAAAATATTAAGTTTCATTCGTAAAAATTAGTAATTTGTGATATTTTACCGATGTAACTGAAAATTATATTACATGATTACAATGAATTGTCCAAATCAAGTTAAGACTGTTTTCTTCGGATGAATTACAACATGTGACACTAATTGTGAAATCGTAAAACTGTAATCATTTCGAATTATGAAGATTTTTATTTCCTGGGATATAACCAGCTTGAAACAGGTAGCAGGCAGAGCTCTGTTTGCTACCTGAATCATGCTGGATTCTTGCTTGTCTTATTTTTCAGTCCTGAAGATGGAGGCTACATATTTCTCCGAAACGTTGGTTGACTGGCAACGAAGTAAACGGCTTTATATCCCAGAATATATAACGCTTCAGGATCACTGCTGTGATGACCTGAAATGCTACATTTCGATTTTACTGTGACAAATATTTGAGAACGAGAGTAACAAATCAAAATTGAGTTCACAAAGAAATTAAGATCCAAATATATTTGGAGAATGACTGACACTGTTCAGTTAGAAATTTGATCTGCCTGTGTCTTCTCTACAAGAAAAATGATGAGATATTTACTACAATATTATATGTTGTTTTTTATGAATTTAGGGGCACGCGGTGGCGTAGTTGGTTGAGACACTATGCTACAAGCCGGAAGGTCGCCAGTTCGAGTCCCGATGAGGTCATTAGATTTTTATTGAATTGACCTAATCCTTCCAGCCGCACTATGATCCTGGGGTCAACTGAGCCTCTAACAGAAATGAGTACCAGGAATATTATTGGGGGTAAAGGGCGGCCGGCGCGTAGGGCTGACATCCTTATTGCCACCTGTGAGCCGATTGCCTAGAAAATGTGCGAACCTCAACGTCTCACAACCCTATAGGCCTCCAAGGCCTGTTACAGGGTTACCTTTCCTTTTTTTTTTTTTCATTTACTTTACAACTTCGCCCAACGTATTAAGTGAGAAGATTATGTCCGTATATTAATGACACATGATCTACAGTACTGGGTGTCAGAGAAATAGGAAAGTATATTTTATGAGGTATGCTTGGAAATCTCTGTTTTTTACAAACCTATTAAGTAATTTTCGGCTACCACATGCTGATCACATTGGCGCGTCTTCTGAGGCATGAACAGACTTCGATCACTCGAAATCTGGGATCGAGGGTTTGAATGCCACTCAAGACGTGAGTGTCTGTGTTGTTCTGTGTGTATAGGATTAAGAAACTAAAAAAGCGGCCAAGGTTCAACAAAGGACTGTAGAGACTTAGATAGATATATATGCATTAAATCAAGGTTTTAAATTTGATCCTGATAAGCAAATTTGTGTGAAGGTCGTCGAGATTACCTGTGATATAAGGTTAATTGACATTTTGGGGGCACGAAATCTGTGTCGGAGTTTATAGAGTATTATTTACAGAATACGTAAATGGTACTGTTTTACATTTTCTTCTTCGAGAACTATATATTCTCATTTTTCACGTGAAGACGCACAGTTTTTGGATCTCCGTAAAACACTCAGCTGCGCTATCCTTACAGCAACAAATGGTCGCCTATAGTTACGCAAGAAGGTTTATATTGTAAAATGAGAATTGAATGGCTATCAGTTTTGACGGTGAGTTCATTTTGCCTCTATCTGTCACTTTCAGGTCTCTTGACTAAACTGTACTCCTTCCAGAGTCGTGTTGTATTTTCTATTTTATCTAAGCAAACACCTATTATTCGAAAATATTATTATTTCTCTGTAATAGGCCTTTCAATATACTGGTTTTCTGAATATCTATGTGAACCAATTGCTCTCCTTCATAACCAGAAATGTTAGTAACTAACCCCATTGGCACCTAAAGGTAAACTTTGATGGCGGGTATGAGGTAATGTAATTGTATCTGTTGCTCTGTACGGGTCTGTCACATTAGCGCACGTACCCAGGTTAAGGGTATTTGAGAGCATGTCGTGGAGAATATTTGGAGGTAAGAAGGTTTGGGAGAGTTCCACGACAAGGGGCTTCATGACTTGTTCTCTCCCCCAAATATTTTGAAAGGGACGAAATCAGTCGTGACGAGATAGGAGGATCATGTAGCACTCATAAGATGGGTGAGAAATATGTACAAATTTCCAATCTCTGGTGCGATTCGCAATTTTTTTTATTGCTAGTGGGGTGGGACTAAGTCCCTTGTACTGCGGCAACTTCTGGCCTATTGTACCAGCCCCAGATGATAGGTGAGGGTGATTGTGGAGCAATTGGTGGAATGAAGATTGGCAGGGGAAACCGAAGTACTCGGAGAAAACCTGCAGCAGCTCCACTTTGTCCAGCGATTCGTAATTAGTGACATTTTTCTGGTTAATGTCACATATTTGCTTGTTTCGAACATTAAAAGCGTAAACATTTTTTCCTACTTCCTGAAGAAAATATATCCGAAATACGAAACGGGTTAATAGATTAGAAGAAGCACCATACCTTACCATGTCTGACGCACACGTATATATAGAAGTCAGACGCAAGTGGACACTAAAACGGTCACGTAAGCTGTGTCCGTGCATTTGAGTTCTACGTACGGACAAACATGGCAGTGAATATTATTCGTTCGCATGGAGGGAAAACTCTGAGATTGGAAGTTAATTGTAGTAGGCGTACTTCTTATTAATTCATGAAAATTGTGTACAGCACTTTCTCTTGCAGGTTCTATTCGCAACATGTATAGACTTCATACTGGCTGACCCGGATTTGAGTCTTGTAATTCAAGATGGAAAGAGAGACCTCAAAAATCCAGACAACTTCACTATGAGTTATACGGTTCTCGCAAATGCAGATAACTTCACAGTTTACGACGAACAAGGGAGTGCTACAAAGGAGGGAACTCCGAAATTGGAATGTACACCAGGAGAGCGCCCGGACCCAGTAGATTGCTCTAAATATTACTGGTGCGTCGAGAAACCAGCTGGTACATTCGTAGAATACCATGAAGATTGTCCTGGAGATCTGGTGTACAATCCTCATACTCGTCTGTGTGTGTCTTCTGATTCTTTTAATTGTTTAGAGAAAATCCAGTACCCTCCTTCAGTGTGGTATCCGCCACCGCCGCCACCATATTGGCCACCACCACCGCCGCCACCATATTGGCCACCACCACCGCCACCACCGGCACAGACAACAACAACAACTACACCAAGACCCCCAACTTGCATTGGATATGGTTTCATTTGCACAAGCCAAACGACATTTACAATGTGTGCTGAACCCGGTCGTCCATTTGCATCCGATATAACTTGCCCCCAGGGTTATTTCTGCAACGATGTTTGCGCGTTTCCATGCCTTCAATACGTGCCGAACTGTTAATAACATTCTATGGGCGTTGGCCTCATTGCACCGGTACCCATTCCTATTTCACTGCAGCTGGGTCGTAATATCTGCAAACCACTGTCCACTAGGCCGTCTCTCCGTCCGTCCGTCCGTCCGTCCGTCCGCTCACTTACAAAAATATGACATCGTAATTATATGTTTATAGCTTGTGTGACGCCGGGATGCAGTCTCAGGAAGTGTACAATCTTATCACTAGTACGAACAGGAATTTTTAAAAATTTTTTAAACATCATAACTCCTGAGACCTTTATTCGCCCTAGAGTCGAATGGTGGGATCACTGGTCATTGATGAATGGTAAAGGGTTTGAAAGGAACTGGTCGTGTCCTAATAAAGGTATTATACGGGTATTTTCCATGAATGAGAGAACAACAGTAAACCTCCCTGCAGAAGTTCTAACCGAACATCCCTCTAATACTACGTATGAATCTATTGATTTACAGCTACATTTGCCTGCTTGAAGGAGCGGATTGTGAATAAAAACAGACACGTAACATTCAGAATAAATTTCATTAGCGAATGTAAAGAAACAATTCATATGCAAGGAGAAGCTTAACCAAGGAAATTGTACTGACTATGCCACTGAGATTTAATGTAATATTTCATTTAAAAATTCATAATAAATTCATAATTCACATGTTTCAAATACTTTATTTTATATATCTATATGTTTTCGTACGTTTTCTTTTAATATGTTAAAACCTGTGAAGATCATCTTGTAATACCGAAATATTTTGACAACATGAAAATGAACTAGACATATACGTATAATGGTAGATTTTATTTTATGTATATAATATATCGGAAAAATGAAGTATATCTAAACATGATCTATTATATATTACATGGATTCAATCTGTAGTTATTGCATTTTATTTACGTAAGATTTGTTTCAAATACGTATATTTATTAAAGTACGTTGCTATGTATACGTTATGTAACTTGAAATATATTGAAATTATATTCTTTGAAGTGGAAATTAATATATCGCATGTGATATTATACACATTTCATAGAATCTGTGAACTGTTACCTCCACGGCTAGGAATTAAATACATGCCATCAACGTACAAGTATACATCACAATCCAGGATAACTGTAGAAATAAGATTTCCTAACGTTGTTTTGGGCTGAATGATTTGTTCTGTGTCAAATGCAGAATTTATGTAGTAAATATCAGAGTTTTGTACTGCATATTTTATTTCTGACCCCCGACATTGCTACCACTCTCGTCCTTTCACGTCTAGGGGACATTATTCAATTCTGAAACCTAAAGACTACAGTTGCTGAAATGCAGGGAATGATATGGGAGTCTGATTACATATGTGTATGCATGCGTTGACATGTTCCAACAAATTGCCAATTTTATGACAATATGTAAAGTTATGTGACTGCGTAAGGCGGACATGTACTCATTCCAGACGAATCTCCCTTAATAACAACCGAAATGGAAAGCTCACAGCATGTCTCGAAGACACCGAAGTACCGTAGTCACAGTAACCCCATGGAACAGAAAGTGATAGTCATTTCGACAGTCAAGAAAGTCACTGTATTTTATGAAACCCCAAGATTCATTAGGAACAAATTCGCGTGCTCTCGCTCTATATAATTAAGAATCATTTTAATATTATTCCCATCTTGTGGTTTCAAATTCTATTGCGACTGAAATTCAGTACCGGTATGCTTTCTCCGTGGCTCCCATGCGAGCTACATACTCCGCCAATCTCTTCCTTGTTGGTTTGTGATAGTATTTGGTGAAGAGTAAACTACAAATCATGATGAACCCCATTACATACTTTTTTTCTAGAACCCTAGTACTTTTAAGAATTAGTCTCAATCTAGGACTATTTACATTAAGAGCAGTAAAGTATATAACAGCCTACAGTTCACCCAGACACTAACACACTGACAGCGTTTGAAACCTCTGATATTTACGAAACACCGCTCAGTTTCGTTCTCAGCTCTTACGTACATTATGAATGAACACTGAGGAAATGGAATAGTTACTTCTATTCAAAGAAGAACAGCTGAAATGCTTCTTCGGAATCTGGATTCATATTATTCTCTTTCGTATAAGTAGAACATTTCTCCGCGAAAACGAGAGAGGGAGGGGGAGAGAGAGAGAGAGATGTCTACGTTCCTGACTCCGAAACTATTTTATAGATGACCTTTCGTCCCAGAAGGAAGGAGATGCTTCATTGCCACTGCCTTTCAACTTTGCTTTACACTGAATTTCATTCCATGGATCCAAAGTTAGTCAAAATGACTGTAGGATGTGGAATATGTCATATGAATACAAAACATATGTACAGTCCCAATGGAGTTCTCACACAAGAGAAACCAAGAATACACAGTGACTACAAACAGGCTATTTAAAGATACATAAGTTATTTTATAGACAATAGCTATTCATCAGTAGAGTAGAATGTATATGTATTTAAGTATCGTTTCAATGTTATTTTAAATCGTGTCTTTTTAGAATATACCATTAGAAAGGTCCAGGAAAACCAGGTGGGACTGAAAGTAAACGGGACAAATCAGCTGTGGGTCTTTGCTGATGATGTGAATCTGCTGGGTGATATCATAAAGGAAAACTCCGAAACACCACCTGAGGCTACTAAGGAGGTTGATCTAGAAGTAAACACAGAGAAACTGAGCATGTTTTGCTGTATCGTCACCAGAATGCGTAGATAAATCATGACATATAAATAGCTAATAGGTCCTTTCTAAATGTGGCACAGTTCAAATATTTGCTAACGCCACTAACAATCGAAAGTTCACTCGAGGAGAAATTAAGAAGAGAGTGAACTGGGGTGATGCTTGCTACCATTCAGTCCGGAACCTTTTTGTCTTCTCGTCTGTTGTCCAAAATCATAAAAATTAGAATATACAAAACTATAATTTTGCCTCTGGTTCTATATGGGTGTGAAACTTGGTCTCTGACATTAAGGGAGGAACATAGACTGAGGGTGTTTGAGAACAGGGTGTTGAGGAGAATATTTGGATCGAAGAGATATGAAGTGACGGGAAGTTGAAAAAATACATAATAAGGAGCTTCATAACTTGTACTCTTCTCCAAGTATAATTAGAATGATCAAGTCAAGGAGGTAGGGCATGTAGCACGAATGATGAGAAGAGAAATGTATATATTATTTTGTCTACAGCGTTACTCAACTACTTTCCGTACTTCAAACTTCGTTCATAATTTCACTGTGTGATGACTTTTCTTCATGTGAACATAAAAAAATTCAAACATAATCGTCACATTGCTCCATCACACCAAAAATATTTCATACGAATTTTGAGAAGTAGTTTGTGTCTGTGGTTATAATAATTTTAACCCAGTATGAATACGAAAGCACTCAGACAGCAAGTAATCAGCACATATTTAAGCAATGTTTGCGTTTTCTGGTAAGATCAGTACCTACAATTAACTGTGTTTGCGATGTGCTCTTAAGCCTTACATTTGGATCTCTCCTTTGAGGAATCAACTTGCATTGAGGATGTTTTAGAACAGCATAACGTGGAGAATGTTTGAATTTAAGAAGAAGGAAATGATTGTGTATAGAAAATTTCATAATGAAAAACTTTGTATTTTTACACTTTGTCCAATTTCATTGGGGTACCCAGATAAGTGAGGGTGGAATGAAATTTGCATGTAGCACGCGAGAATTAGAATAGAAGGGCATGAAAGCCCTTATTCTGAATGTCTGAAGAGAACAACCCCCCCCCCCNTCTAAATGTAGTTCAGCGGTATTAAAATGGCTTTAAACATTTGGCGTGTGATGGTGTGTATTTGATTCAGCAGGCTCAGAATAGAGACAAGTGACGGTCTTGTGCGAACATGACAATAGGTCTTCTGGTTCCATAAAAGAGGGGAATTTCTTGAATAGCTGAAATTTCTCAAGAAGGATCCTGCTTCACGAAGTCAGACAATTTATAAAGTGTGCTAATCGATCAAAAGATTTGTAAGTGTATGCTCTGGTAGGACAAATGTAAAGGACACAAAAGAGACAAGAAACAATATATGTGTGTAAACATTACATTTATTGTAAGAGCATTAACAGTATAACATTAGCTAATACTACTAGAGCTGAGATTCTCAAGAGGGGTGTTGTTAAACCTTGGTTCAATCTAAGACACAAATTTGTGTACAACCAGCCTTGAGCTCTTTGGACTGGTTGCAGGAGATTCTTTCATATATTTGGGCTGACACTTCAAGGGAACCTCATTTCATGCAAGCTAAATTTCTGCATTAATCTTATTGTTCACATGATTTACTGCAAAATACTGGTAATATGGAGAGTTTCGTGAAAACTTGTGAAGGCGGTGCATGTTTCAGCACTCACAACTGACAGAAATCTGTGTGAGACCTATGTGCTTCTTAGCCCTGTAAACTCTGGAACTGGCATTCTTTAACCTCAAGAACTTTGTTTAATTTCTTTCGAAAAAGATACATTACAAAAGGACAGCTTCTTAATGTGAAGTTTTGCGTGCCAATTCATTCAGAAACCAGACTGCGTAATTTGTGGTATTTAAGGATTAAGTAATATTCATTTTGGAAAGTATAATACAATGCTTTAGTCAGTTAACTTAGTAATCCAGATGGGTTATGCAAAGAAATTGAAACATTTTGAATTGTGCTTGTGTGTATATATATATATATCGTGTTTTCTCAAAATCTTTCTGCACTAATTCACACTGAAAAGTGTTTAATTTTTTAAATTTATCCATTTTTGCGAAAATCATCATTATATTTTTATTCAATTTTCATTCCACATTGTCACTTTCAAAAGAAGTATTTTTACGATGAATTGGTATGAGCATCTAAAGTTATGCTCTGTCACTGGACTGATATTTCACCATAAAACACAAAATCAATGTAAGATAGAAATTTCGTGGTTGTCCTGATTGGGATATTTCCGCTTTTCCTGACTTATAACTTCCGGAAACCATTTCCACTCAAAATTTGATTCCAGGCAAAATGTATTTCAGTTATGAGATTTATCAGGCTTATTTCCAGCTTTATTATTCCATGCATATTTTATCGAAATTGGGCAAGTTCCGTATATTTTAACACTGTTTAATGATTGCATGAGGATGCATTACGCCATGTTACTCCAGAAGAAGGTAAGTAAAGTAAGTAAAGTAAAGGTGTTCTTGTAACAGGCCGTGGAGACCCATGGGGTTGTGGGATGTTGAAGTTCCTACATATTCTAGACAACCGGCTCATAGATGGCGGCAAGATTGCCAGCCTTACGCTCCGGCCGTCCTTTACCCCCAAAAATATTCCAAGAATGTTGTACTCATTTGTGTTAGAGGCTGAGTCGACCCCATGACCATAGTGCTGCTGGAAGGATTAGGTCAACTGCAAAGAAAAAATTCCATGACCTCATCGGGACTTGAACCCTCGATCTTCCAGCTTGTAGCATAGTGCCTCAAACAACTAAGCTACCTCAGAAGAATAGAATAAATATTAAGCATAGTTATATCGCTTATCCATTAAGCTGCATTTCCTTTCTTTCGGACTGTGTAAGTTTTTTTTTTTTGGTATATGCCTTATGCTATTTCTGCTAAAATGTTTCTTTCTTTTGTGCGATATCGAATACAATCCTGCAGAATATATTCAGACAAAGTTACTGTATGAAGAACTCCCAAGATTCTGAATAGTGTCCGTTGATTTTTGAAATTATGGTTGCACAATTTGTATTTAAACGCACATTCTTTTCTCCTACAGGCTATAACATATGGAAGATGAAGAACACCGTCAGACCCACGAGCAATACATTGGAAATAATTTCAATCATGAGTTTTCAGACGTACAATAACTCAACCCACTATCATAACACATGAATTTACGTTACCCCATATTTCTGCCTGCCGGCGAGAAGTGCAGTTCTGCTACGTACTGCTGCAGGCTGTACGGTGTTAGCATGAACATGAACAGCATTACAGCCTCTCCGCACCTGAAGTAAACTATATCCTGGCTACAGCAGAATTTCCAGAAGATATCTGCATGAAACCTTACAGACTTCCCGACTTGCCAGAATTGTGCTTAGATATGGCTGCAGTTTAAGCAATTCTGCAGATGTCCGCGAGCCTCCCACCCTCCTTTAGACTAGGTCGTGACCCACAGTTTGAGTAGTATTAATGTAAGTTGAATAGCTCTGTCTTCTGGGAAGTAGCACCATGAAGTCCGCTGAAAGTCAACCGATGTTTATGCAGGAAAATACCCCATCCATTCTCAGAGTTTAAGAATAAACCAAATAAAAAATCAGTTGGCTAACCGCTTCCCTCTGGTTACGTGCTTAGCTTATTCTTCGACTTGAAGATGGTGGCGACGTGTCCTTCCTGGACGTCTGTCGACTTTCAACGGATTACATGGCGTTTTTTTATTGCTACTGGGGTGGGACTAAGTCCCTTGTACTGCGGCCACTTGTGGCCTATTGTACCAGCCCCAGATGATAGGTGAGGGTGATTGTGGAGCAATTGGTGGAATGAAGATTGGCAGGGGAAAACGAAGTACTCGGAGAAAACCTGCCCCAGCGCCACTTTGTCCACCACAAATCCCACTTGACCAGACCCGGGATCGAACACGGGCCGCCGCGGTGGGAAGCCAGCGACTAACCGCTTGAGCTATGGCGCGGCCTACATGGCGCTATATCCGAGAAAACATAACTCTTCATAACCACCTCTTTGAAAACCTCAGGTCCTGCTTACCGTAAGATGTTCTAAAGTGTAGGCAAGTGTTTAGACCAAGCTCAATGATGAAGACATGTTAGCAGTCTGGTATGTAATTCAGACAAGGGGAAATGCACTTCTGATTGCAGTAATAACCCGACGGGCACACAGTTTCGTCTACGATGGAAACGCCAGCTGCAGCGCACAAGGTAAATGTTGTGTTGGTATTGCAGTAGAAGCCCGGCTCTGTACAATTTGAGCAGACATAAGTGCTGGAACACTCTAAAGTACCGGGATCGAAATTCAAGTTTTCACAGTCTCCGAGGCTGGACAGAAAATTTCCAGAACCGATAGGGGTGCAGACTTGAAACAAAGAGCAGTTTCCGGGGACACGAAACACTCCTGTGGCTGAGCATGTGGCTGTTGCAGCTAGAACTGCCACATCCGAGTACTCCAGATGCCCGTATGCAACTGCGGCAACTTCATTCCCATCGGTTGAATCCGACTGGGTCATAATTAACTGGGCACATGTTGCCAACATAATCTGTAACGAAATTATTTACAGTTATTTNGTCAGAGTACTCCAGATGCCCGTATACAACAGCGGTATCTTCTCCAATCCCATCGGTTGAATCCGACTGGGTCATAATTAACTGGTCACATGTTGCCAACATAATCTGTAACGAAATTATTTACAGTTATTTAATAGTAAGTAATTTTATAATGTTAGTTTGTTCAGGTCAGTATTCAACATGAACGTTTTAAGATCTGTTTTACATACAGACATAGACTGAGGGTGTTTGAGAACAGGGAGCTGAGGAGAATATTTGGACCGAAGAGAGGTGAAGTCACAGGAGGTTGGAGAAAACTGCATAATGAGGAGCTTCATAACTTGTACACTTCTCCAAGTATAATTAGAATGATCAAGTCAAGGAGGATGAGATGAGCATGCCATGTAGCACGAATGGAGGCAAGAGAAATGCATATAGGATATTGGTGGGAAAGCCAGGTGGAAAGAGACCACTGGGAAGACCAAAGCGTAGGTGGGTGAACAGTAGTAAAATTTATCATAGAGGAATGGGATGAGATAGTATGGATTGGACAGATCTGGCTCAGGATGGGGACCAGTGGAGGGCTCTTGTGAACACGGTAATGGGCCTTCGGGTTACATAAACTGCTGGGAAATTCTTGAGTAGCTGCAGAATTGGCGGCTCCTCCAGAAAGGCTCAGCTCCATGAGTGAGTGAGTGAGTCATACTGAATAAACTGCCTGTAAATTGTGTAAGTAAGTTTCGGCCATTCTCCATAATAGAATCACCTTGGGCCAATCTAATATCTCACCTGCTTCAGAATTGCACAGGTCACCTTTACTACTATTTATGGTAATAAATTCATTATAGCAAATATGGAGTGACCTCTATCAGTAATATATTTTTTCGAATTTCAGGAAAATCTGTTATTTCGTTCAGAGTTTCTTAGGAGGACAGACACCAGGAGAGACCTACCACAATCTTGACTTTCTTTATAAAATACATAGAATAAGTTAATAATCTGAAGCAGTGTCTATTTAAATTAAACGAAATCAAGATCGTGTGATGTAATATTTAAAGAAAAAATAATGTTAATGCATAGAAAGACGGAGAAAGTACATGTAATTTGTTATAAGGATTGTCTCTCTTTTCTTAAATACCGTATTTACGCATGTATAGGCGGCGTGCGTGTATAGGCCGCAGCACAATTTTCAGACAGAAATTATAGAAAAAATAATTTTCTTGGAATATTATTTCAGGAGTATTACACCCTGTATTACTAATTATGAATATATTTTTTTAAATGAAGTGTGATTTCGAATATTTCGAATATAAGCCGCACCCCAGTTTTCCTCTTGAATTTTTGGCAAAAAATGTGCGGCCTATACATGCGTAAATACGGTAGTTCGAAAATAGTCAATAGAGGCCACTATGGCCAAGTTTTCTTCAGCCGAAATTTATATTGTTTTAATCAACTTTTCTGAGAATCTGTAATTTATACAATATATATATATATACAGAACAGAGAATAATTGAATGTGTAACTCACCATCATTGCCACCTTCAATGTGTTTCCCATTTTATAAATTCAACCGTAACCTCACTTCTCTACAACAGCTGTCAGTGCTCAGTACCGTGCTGCCACCTGCTGAATGCTTCGTCTCTGAAAGAGCGAGTAACTTCAGCTAAATTTGCCAATGCTGTATTTAAGACGGTATATATATATATGTATATGCCTCACGCTTTAAAATGATATCGCTCTTCATTGTACCGACACAACCTTGCAAGTTCTTTCGATCATAAGCTTAATGTATACATTGTTTCTGACATTTATGGCTTCTGGCGAAATCGTCCTTCTAACGAGTAAACAGATGAAGTAAATGAGGGCCACTGTGTCTATTCGAATGGAAAACACGTGTTTTCCGTCGCGATTTTGGGATTCTGGTTAAGTCATCTGCCTTAATTTTCTTCATTTTATATACAGCCGCTTATTGGGGTTCGTAATTCTCCATCCCTGCCTGTCATTGCGAAGAAGGAAAGGACGAAAGCACTTTTTATTTCTAGATTTAGCCCAGAGGTCACTGCTGATGACGTACACAAGTCCCTCAAGCAGCAATTAAGCCTTAAAAAGTTGGTCTGCACCAGGCTTAGAACTAAATTTAACATATTATTGTTACTGAGGATGAATTTTCGATAATCAATGACGTTGGTGTCTGGCCTTCAGGATGCTTAATTGCCCTGTATTATGGTAAGCTTGCGCCTGACCAAGTATTTACCCCCAGCACATCCGAAGCTGGAGTGTCTGATACTTCCGTTAAATCTGCCGTTAACCCAGCAGTTAACGGCGTGGTAGATGGAGGCTGCTCGACATCCATCTAATCATGGCTGATTACAACGACTCTAGCATGGATGGTTTGGTTATGTCTCGTTTTAAGTCTGCCAGCTGTCTCGGCGTATTTACGCATGCATAGGCCGCGTGCGTGTATAGGCCGCAGCACAATTTTCAGACAGAAATTATAGAAAAAATAATTTTCTTGGAATATTATTTCAGGAGTATTA